GCCTTTTGAATATGACCATGGTATCAGATGTCAATATTTTACTTTGGAGTGAGTTCCGCGGTCGAACTACGCGTTCGCTGAAGGAAACCTTTCGTTGGTCCAGGCGCGTACTATCGCCTTTATCTTGTACGGGTGACCGCGCAGGTGACTCTTGTTCATACGCTCAAAGAAATGTTCTTATTTGAGCGAACCGTAACGCTCGCGAATAATGCGGAATGTTCACAACAGGTTGAACATAATGGGTCTAAAGGATAGGGGAACAAATTGATCTGGATCAGCCTTTATGGGTATGACAATGTCGTAGGACCGTCCACCAATTTTGTTCGCTCGTCGTTGCACCTGCTCGAAGACATCGCTGCCTTCCTTCATCCAATACATCCATGCTGGCATTCGGTATTCCAAATCCGGTCTGACGAACGTACCAAATATCTGCAAGAAGAATTCAAGGCCAAAGACTATAAAAGCACGCCTAATCCAGTGCATGATGCTGGTTGCTTTTTGGGCGGCCCTTCTGCAGTGTTCAGAGGGCAGCAAGTTTGAACTTGTCCGGATACCTAGGCCTTTATGCGTATCCACTTCTTTTAGTGAGACCCCATTTATAGTGTACTGATGTTTTGGGAAACGCCAGATTCCAAACGCAAGACTACACATTGGGAGGCATGAAACGTTGGAAGCCATTAGATGGATCATACAGCCAGCTTATTAAAGTCTTATTGCAGTTTCTGCGCGTCGTTGGCACAGCTGCGTGCTCTCCAAATTTTTATATCATCCTCAATCACGATGGCACGGCATTCAGGGTCTGCAGCACAGTCGCTCTTATAGATAATGAAGAGGAGGAGACCTAAGACCGAATCCTGTGGAATGCCGCACTCTACTGATGCCCATTCGAATTTAGTAGCACTAACAAGTCCTTTTGGCAGTTTTATTGCCAGGGAGCTTTTAATCCACTTTAGAGTGTTGACCTGGATTTCACACCGCTAAATCTTCTGTACGAGGCGCCCATGAGGCACACTACCAAAAGTCTTTTTAATGTCAAAGAAGACAGCATCAACTGGACGTTCCTCGCTTGTGGCTTATTTCCGCGCAGTTTATTGAGGCAAATTGGCGCGAGCTTTAAAGAGCGAACGGGAGAGAGAGAGAGAGAGAGGGAGAGAGAGAGAGAGAGAGCAAGTGGGGAGAGGGAATGGGGAATACGTTTTACTTTGAAAGCACCAATCCCAAATTTTAAGGCAAAGAGGGGGTTCCATTAATTGTGAATACTAATTAATAAATTACGCATGGGTTAAAAGGGTTTCCGCAAAAATAGCTACTTCGAGGCAGTTTAAGTTTAAGTTTCTGTATTCCTGTCTTTTCACACGCAAGCTGGCTTGCCAGGAATGACAATGCAGAACGCTGATATGCTAATGTACGACAACAGATATGTCGAAGGCCACGGCGCATGGGGCGGGAGTACTTCGAGGCAGTTAGCTAGAAATAAAGGGCATGGGCAACGTCATCCAGAATTCGACCACCAGATTGCGCAACCGCTTTTAAATGTCGTTGTATTATAAGATCAACTAAAAGACATAAGAAACACCTGCGGCAGAAGAGAGCATTCGGAGAACTCGTTTTAAAATTAACATATATTTTTGGAGCAAGGCAAAAAAACGACAGAAAAATCATAAAAAATGGGGGGGGGAGAATGTAGGCATCTGCAAACCGTCAAATGAAAGGTTGAGATTTGTGATAGAAACGTAAACGCCAGGTGTTATTGGGGAACTTACGAACTTTGCTGAAAAGGGTCTCAATATGAAGGGAGAAAAAAAGACATGATGATGAAGTAACGCCATCCGTAACTTTACTTGCAACTTAAAATTGAGTGTGGTCTACAGCAAAACTGTGTGGGCTGAAATAGCTTGAAAAGATTCATAATAATATGATAAATTCGGCATGAGTCTCAAGGGCTGGGCTAGATCCCTCATTGCTCTCCATCATTTCGGAACAGAAATACGTAATGATTCCTTTTAAGGCTCTGTATCGACGGTGACATCACAACATCTGCGGGGGGTATTATATGGCTTGACCACTCTGACGGAGGAGAACTTACGCACATCCAGTCCTACCAGTTGAATTTGCAGCTTTAATTGGTGGTCCCAGAAGTTGGTCATGGTGACAAATTCAAAAAGGTCCTCAAAGGCCAAACGCAGTCCGCTCCCTCGACAATGCTGAATGCATGTAAGAAATCTCCGTTCCGTTGTCTATAACTCAAAAGGGCGGGTTACATAGAGTAAGGAACCCTGAACCACAACCAGTTCGTTGCTTTTCCCCGTAATCTTTCAATAATATTTTGACCTTTAACTGCCTATGATCTCCAGGCTTGTCTGCCGTAGTGCATATGCAGTCTCACGAGTGTTACGAAGATATTGGAAAAGAGGTCTTTGTCAACAGTCAAAAATGTTCTCTTGATGGCTTACAGTACGAACATATGGCTTCTCGCCAGTCTCGAACAATGAGTGGATGTTTTTGAGGAGTTCGTTGTCAGCGGGCTTCCCCATCTCGTAAAGTTACACCGACGAGAAATAAGTCTTTTGTCATGGTAGATCTGGCTTGGTTGCCTAGGCGAAGTATGATGCACTTACCTGCGTTCAATCGTACGAGCCAACTTTTTGACCACTCCTTCAACCGATTAAGGCCCACCCCCGGTCTATTTTCGTCGGGACGGTCCCGTGTTATAGTCCACGTCTTTATGTCGTCAGCAACTATTGTTGCTTCGCACTTCAAAGTTCTTGTGCAGTCGTCCGTGAATGGGTCCGGTAGTAAAACCTGGGAAACACCAATTTTGACCTCATGAGGACCTAAGTTTTTTTGGCCGAC